TTCTCTCAATAGAGATTATATCTGTTTTACTGCTGAAAATTATTTGATCTGGAAGAGGCAAATAAGAAAAGATGTATGATATGCATATATAGCGACAAAAGCACCGAATGCTTCAACATTCGGTGCTTTTGTTGTTTCCAACTCATCTGTATAAACTGCATCTGGTGCGGTTTGATACAGTTCATTCTGAATGAAATTAACACATCGTGCAATGAGTGGTAGTAGTGCAGTAGATGCATCAGTAAAAATAAGAAGGCCGTCGAAGGTATATTAGTAGTGCACTGGCTTAATGACTGGATTTGTGTTTTGTGTATGAATGGCATTAGTCGATGTGAGAAATTGCTATAATTGAAGGGCGATGGTCAGGTTCGTCGTCGTAAGTTCTCGAAGTCAGCTCGTCCTGAGGATTACGCAGGATTCGAGCAAGAGGAAGATATCCAAGATGCAGCTGATGATGAAGAACGGTACGAGGATGAAGACGAGGAAAAGTCTGACGTTGGCGAATCGGATTCTGATCAGGAAGCACCGAGTGTGCGCACTGCTGCTACCACTAATGCTAGTGCTGCCGTGCAACCGCATCTACAATCATTCCAGAAATCCATCGAAACTATCGACATTGAAAACATTCCTCCGTTTAATCAACAAAAGAAACAGTCGGATGAACCATTAGATAAGCTCAGGTTATTTATTGCTCAGCAATTTCAATGTGCTTGTTTCATTCATAATTATTTGTTACTCTCATGATATTTATTTCAGAGGATTTGTTAAGTATCGTCGGCAGATGAAAGTTTACCGACCTGCCGAGAAGAGAATAAAGGATTGGGGTGAAGTAACTGACTATGAAGCAGTTCGGTCGAATATTCGTGAGCAGGCCGCAAGGTGGGAACGAATGCTTTTATTTTATGTTGTTGATCAACGGGATTATTGTCATCACATCCAGTAGTAACATTGCAATTCGTAACAAGTTTTCTGTTTCTGCGCTATTCCGAGTTAGTAATTGGTATTTGCACTCTTACTATTCTATGGTCATTCCTCGTCAACATTCATCGTTTCACTGTCTTGATGGTGAAGGAGAGGACGAATGCATCCGTTTTTTGAATTGATTACCTCAAGGTGTCTTCACTGTTCATCAATGTTTGTTCGCGCCTCTTTCAAGGTCCACCGCCAGTCAGAGGTGCATAGTGGCGAGCAGCCGAGCACGGAATCAAATGACTCTATGCTTGTATGCTTACAATTAGGTATTTTCCGTTTCATTGGAAAATATCTTAAGAATATGCGGTGATATGCCAGAAAGAATATAATTTCTGGACTCAAAATCCTGAAGCGCTGGAAAATCTGATCAGTGTAAATTATTTTTACTTGTACGAGTGGTTATTTTTTACTGGTGTCGGTAGTAGTGATGAACAGTAGCTCTAACAATTGTTGAAAAGTTTCCTCCTTTATAAGGCGCATGGTGGTAACAGGTAGATCAAATAGTAATATAGTTTTATTGACAATGTATTACCAGCGCAAATAGAGATGTCATTTACAAAGTTCAACGTTTCGGCGTTATGCCATCTTCAGGAACACGTTGTTGAATCACTGANGTACGTATTCGTTGGAGAGATCCAGGGTCAGGGATTATGGGGCAGTAGGTGGGGGATTATCAATGAGACGATTGGAGATTACAACAACTGTGACATAGGATGAAATTGGGGAGATAAGCATTAACATGGTGATGAAAGCAAATAAATAAAGGATGGTAATATAATTATGATAGGGAAGTATAATTAAAATGATGGAGATAAATTATGACGATGAAGTACAATAAAACACAATGATGGATGTAAATGAGAATGATACCAAGATGATAACGTTAATAACTGAGATGGGAAACTGAGATGGGATGTGAAGGGTAATAGGGGGGGGGGGGGTGTGTGAAAAGTTATGTTATGAATTTGAGGGCCTCCACCATCTCCTCTTTAGAGTTGATGGAGGGGCTTTTGGATTGGATGAAGGTAGCTTCCATTATACGTCTTTTTGTGGTGCAGTTGGATTGTGCAAGGATTTCAACAGTTAAAACGGGAAGTGAGTTTGTGTGGTGTGCAGTTTTGTGTTTGGACAAGGGCATGTTGATATAGGATTTAGCGTGCGGATTTTTAAGTGCTCTTAGGTGCTCATTGATCCGGACGTGAAGGGGTCTTCCAGTTTCTCCGATGTAAAATTGGCCACATTCACATATGATTTTATAGACACATCCAGTCTTGTTGCATGCTCCGTCGTAATTGTTTGGGCATATTATACAGTTTTCCGTTGAGCATGCTTGGTCATATAGTCTTGATTTAGTTAGAATTCTTTTTAGGCTAGGCGGTGGGGTGATTACTAGATTTATGGGTAAACCGCTGTCTCGGACGATACGTTCGATGGTATTTGTAAGTTGGCTACCCACGTACGGCACTTTGAATACAACCGCCCCATAACGGCGAAACGTTGAACTTTGTAAATGACCATCTCTATTTGCGCTGGTAATACTTTGTCAATAAAACTATATTACTATTTGAACAGTAGCTCATTATTCGCTATTCCGCTACTAGCGGAGCTTCTTTTTCCGGTAGCGCGATAGCTTACTACTTTTTTGGTACAGCGGAAATTATTAGCGATAACTGTCGCTACAGTGGTTTTTTAGCGGTATAAGACAACTTGCACTATTCTCTTTCGTTAGCGTTTTGAACTACTTTTTTCCAAAATTCCACTGACTGACTGCTTTTCGTCTGCGATGGAACGCTCACTTTCACCAGTATCAAGATATATGTTTGCGTTTCAGCACTGACAAGTGCCCAGTTCGAACTTATTTTACTCGTAATCATCTTAAGGGGTGGAAATTGAATATACCTCAAATACTCGATATAAGCACACCACGGATATTCCTTCTGAACTCACTATGTTATGTGACTTGAAATAAATTACGTGACAATGCAATGAAGTTTTGTTTGTTTATTATCCCATTAGGAAAAGATTTAATAAGAGCCAAATGATCGAGACTCAAACGATTTGTTGATGTTCTTAGAAGGGAATGAGGTCTAATATGGGCTGCTGCCAGCTGAACGTTTTTATTTTTGAATTTTGTTCTCGTCACTTGGTTATTTTCTTATTGTTGAAGTTCGCTTTTATTTTTGAAAATATTTTTCGCTGTGGAATGATTTAATTAAAACCTTTGATTAATTAGTCGCGCGGTGAGGTTTTTTCTTAGACAAATTAGTTGCATGGTACAGATTTAGGAGGATGATTTCATAGTAGCGATTACTGAAGTAATTTTGCCGATTAGCATTTTAGTAAATACAGTCGCTAATTTTTCCAATTAGTAGCATTTTTAGCGAGACGTATTTGCTACTTTTTTGTCACCGGCGCTAATAACTGATTGTTTTCAGTGGAACAAAAATATTTTTAGCGATTCAGCGATTAAACAAATTACTTTTTTTAGTAACATGCTCATTACTGGTCAGTCATGTTTAGGTGTATGGATTGTGGTGTACCGTTCTGTCAAGGAAATACAGGATGCCCTCTAGGTAATATAATACCGAAATGGAACGATTATGTTTTCAAAAAGAATTGGAGGCAAGCTTTGGAGATGTTGTTGCAAACGAATAATTTCCCTGAATTTACTGGCCGCGTTTGTCCAGCACCATGTGAGGTGAGTTCTTTTGAGAATCATTTAACTCGATGATGTGGTATTAATGCTACCACTTTATCGTACAATGTTCATGAAATCTTTAAGGGTGCGTGCTGCTTGGCCATCAGTTCACCGGCAGTTACAATAAAAAGTATCGAATGCGCCATAATTGATTATGCATTTTTACAAGGGTGGATGGAGCCACAAAAGCCAACGTTAAGCACTGGAAAACGAATTGCAATCATCGGTAGTGGGCCAGCAGGTCTGTGAATCTCTGTTCTGGAATATTATCCTTTATTATTGGTGTTATCAGAGATGGGCAATAGCGCGCTGTCATGTTCAAACAGCGGCATTTTATAGCGATAGCTTTCGCTATTGTCGTTGGATAGCGCTTCACAGAGTTATTTTTTCATG